TAATATGTCATTTGCGTTAAATGTACTGACAAATCAATTAGAATTGTTCTCATATTAGCACATGCCCATAATTCCTCTTCTGTTAAATCTTTACCGTAATATTCAAGTTCTTTTCGAATTTTAGATTCAATCAATATGCTTAATTTTAAGTCGATTTCTTCGATCCCATAAACCATTTCAGTATGGTACAATCAAAAACATTCAACAGTCAAATCTTCCAGGTTTGTATGGTAATTTCCATTTTATTTCACCAATATTATAAGCATTTCATATTTCTGACTACCAGAATTAGATTTTATTAATTGAAGAAACTGAACAATCATTAATAGCAATTGAATTATTATCAATACTATTTAAATTATTTGGTTTGATATTTAATTTATAATAGTTTGAATTTTAAGTAATAGCAATCAAGTTATCAAAAATAAATAATAAGCTTGAATACCAGAGAAATTGTAATAGTCAAGCATAAGAGATGTAGTAAGTTTTAGATCATTTAGTTCAATATTAAGTTTGTATTCATTAATAACATATTGAGAAATGGTATTAATGTTGTTAAAATAATTTAATTAGATATCAACAAATCAGTTAATTCTGAAGTATTCCAAGAGTTCCAATATTGTTTTGCCTTCTTTTTTATATTTATTGAATATAAATGTTTTAATGTTCATATTGGTGATAGTAATAGTGATTAATTGCAAGAAAAAGAATTTACTTACATGCATAGAGGAAAATTTTGGTGGTATTTATAATAAAAACTAAGTCAGTTTTTATATAACAATTTCAAGCTAATATTTGTTTTTCAATAATTTCAATAATTAATTACATGCACTAGTTCAGAATTAATATTTATAATAGAATAATATCTATAAATAAATCAATAATCAGAAATTGTAATTGTAATACGAACCTTTAATCACAAGATTTAGTTTTTTAATTTGAAAATATAAATGAGTTATTAATATGTATTGACATAATTTGGCAGGTTAGTGAATCAAGCGTAAAGACATTTTG